TACTATACTTACTCAAATAAACATCTCACCTATTTTAAGTATTTTTAAGGCGCAATTAAAGTATTTCCTTAAATGAGGGGTTGTTATGTTGATTTTGATTTGATTATCAATAAGTGAAAATGTCAAAGACTGCAGAGCTATGTGATTTAAAGATAAAAAAATAAAACTGACTGATTATAATAACGTTTTCTTTATTTTTCTCTCAAAACATGATCCTTATAAGGAAGTTTCGGTTTCGGCTGAAACTGAGACCATTGCCGAAATTCGGTTTCGGTTTCGGTCGTAACAACCAGTTTCGGTCGGACACTATTACTAACTAGACTAGAGGTTGCTGACATAAAGCTTACTTTTCTCACTACAGACGTTGTAAGGAATATCGTAAACATAGAAAAGAGATGTCAAGTGGTAATTGCAGCGGACACTAATAAAGAAAAAGGAATAACATTACACCAATTAATGTGTAACAGAAGAGGTACAGACAAGCAGAATTTGAGCATGTTGTTAGGCATCGGACTTTAAAGAAAGTTCGAAATTCTCAGGAAGAAATGATACTTGTTTAAGGATATAATTCCAACCAGGCAGTTATAAAGCCGATCCTGATTTTTTTGCGTTTCTAAATATTATCTAACCTCTCACTATTATTCGGTTTTTCACTTTGTCTGCATTACTCATGAAGCATTTCCCAATTTAACAAGGGCGTGTTCAAAACACAGCAAGATCCAAATGGAAAAACAATAAAGAAAATACATACGTCCTTTCTCACAGATAATTTATTGTGGACTTTGCCAATTTTGATCGTCCCAACTATACTCAAATAACTCAAAACTTCTTCATACAATTTGGGTATGAATCATCCAGTATAGTTCGTTAAGGACTCGTATTGGTTGCCTTAAAATACAAATCATTAATTCAAAATATGGGCTTCAAAAGCTACGTGATCGGTAATTGTAATATAATTAAAATCATTTTTATAATCGGACTTTAAGGCCAATTAATACATACACGTACTATATATAAAGCAATTTATATATTTAATCAACAAAATTATTATCATTGTTTCGTTTGTTTTCGAGGTCTGTCACAGTTCGAAATCAAGGGAAAGCCATGCACCTTTTAATGCATATACAGTATGTCTTGAATTTAAAATATATTACGCATTTATTGTATAAATAATGTACATACAATATATCATTTAAGTGATATGCAGTCTTAAAATTGTCTTAATAAGGAAACGCTTATAAATAATTCGTGCACACTTGTCTTACTTATCATCGTTTATCATAGAAGAATAGAATAAATACAATTTTTTGTAAATATTTTACACAATACATTTGTAAGTAAGTGTATATTTACATAGAAAGGATTATGATGTTAACACATGTAACATATACATAAATGTTAGCAACAGAACAGGCAAAGTCAAGTTTAAAGTTTGTTTTTATACAAATAATAGATAAGACAACAAATACAACAATAATCTAGGAATTTCAACATGTGGAACTGTTGGAAATATTCACAGTGTGTTAAAATTACTCAATAACTAGTTGACTCTAAGGATGTAATTTTTAATTATAAATCTATTAGTTCTTTGCCTGCTTCTGGATTTTCCTAATGGCACAATCTATAAAAATGATTATTAATAAAAGCGACAGAGGACACCCCTGTCTTACCCCTTGTTTAATAACTGCTTTCCGTTTTTCATCCCTCATTTTTAAGATGTTTTTAGGTTTTTATAAAGTTGGTAGCTAAATAATTTTTCTGAGCGGGTAGGAAACAGGGATGGCAGACAAAGCGGGAATGAATAGGGTAGAAGCGTGTCTTGTTACAGACGGATGTGAAAATACTGTGGATAGAGAATGTTAAGAATGAGAAGGAATTAGAAAGAATAAGAGAACAGTATGAAAGTCAGTAAACAATAAGCGAAAACGGTTGACAGGACATGAAGGACTAGTTAGGATATCAATGGTTTTAGGGAAATACGAAGATTAGCTCATGATAGGAAAGGATAGGGGTACTTGTGGCGAGTCCAACCAGTCACATGACTGACGACCTTATAATGATGATGATGATGATGATGCATGTGGTTGTAGAGCTAATACGGCTTTATATAGGCAGCCATATTTTGCCTGAACCCAAACTTATCAGAACCTAAGTAGTCCATTGTCAAGGATCTTAGATCTTCTATTTTGTACGTGTATGTTTATAGAGAACTATTTCTATTTTTGAACAAAATAATTCGAAGTGGTCTGTGTTCCGTCGAAACTGCCAGACGCGGTATATATGTAATCCTCAAATGTAGCATCGTACTACAGATGGCGCTCACCACGCCATTTGTAGTATTTTCTATTTCTATTTTTGTCTAACAGTATTATTTTTATAATTTCTTCTATTAAATTTGATTATTTATTTATCATTTGATAGAGTAGTAGCTACTAGAATGGTTTGTGGCATTATTAGGCCTAGTGCTCGATTTACGTATTTTTGACCATGCAATTTAATTTCAAGTACTTCTACAATTACAATTATCACTCCTCAAATCGTTCTTTTCTTTTGTCAAACTTGAAGATAAAAATTCAATATCAATGTTATCAGTAATATCGCTCATGTTGCAAGGCTGTAATAAATATCTCATAAAATTATTAAAAAGATATTACAAGAAGCCATATTTTAGAAGATAATTTTTATTAGGTGTTTGTAGGTATTAATGATACGATACTACGTTAATTGTTATTATCAATTTTCAAACAGATAGAAATCACAGAAAGGTTCTCCAGAAATAAATTGCTTATCAATTTTTATATTGATTTACGACTTTTTTTATTGAAATTTGAATGACGCCATCATTGTTTTATTATCAATTCATTGACTACTCGAAATTAATTACTCTATTCGTTTTAGTATTTAAAAGGTAGTGTAAATGTTTATAAATTAACTGGTGAACGTTTTGTGTGGTATAATTTTGAATTTTCTAGAAATTCGATTATCGTTAATAAAGTCATGACGAGATTATTGAATTTCAATTCATAATTTTGTTTAATTTTATGTGACTATTTATATTTTATTATTATTATAAAGTTCTTTAATTAAGGCATATAGACCTGAATTATTTCCCTAATTATAAATTTTAATTAGATTAAATAACGATTATTAAACATTTAATGTGTGCATCGTAAACATAATTCGTTAGTTTAATTAATTTAAGTTAAGGAAACTTATTTTCCCTGATAAACTGTTTATCAATTGATAATGACCTAACAAAGAAAATTATAGAAAAAATGGCACTGCTTATCAACAAATAAAGCACTTCGACTTGTTTATTTACTCATCATCAGTTGTTGAAAGGAAATAAGAGATTTGTGGTAGGAATATATAATATTTACTATGAAAACTACTTGTGAAATACTAGCTCATTTTTTGAAAGTTACCAACTTAAACAATATTGTTAATATTTATCCTGCAGGGATCATTTCCATAAGTCATGACGCGACAAAACAAAAGAATATTTTTTTTGTTTATTTTTCTTACTCTATACATACTTATATAAATTATCCTATTTAATATATAAATATTTATTCAGTTTAGTCATCTAAATAACATTTTTTTTATGATTATACTCATAATTATGATTTTCAGGAATTATATCGAATTGTCCTCGAAAAGACATAAAAAAATATTCATTGAAAGAAACCATTAATTTTATTGTGTTGACAATCGTGGTAATTGTTGGTCATATTACTCGTGTTGCTTTTTTTTATGTATAAAAATGATAAATTGCGTGATGCACACTAATAGTCATTTTCATACCAATTTATACCATTCGGAAAATATGTTAAAATTAAAAATATTATAATCCTTTAACTTTACAACTTTTCTAGATGTTATCGAAAATAGCAATATACAAATGTACTTATTAGTTTAATAACTACAAGATGAATGCAATAATATCGTATTTATTATTATAAATTAATTTTGAGGTCTAATACTCTTTAAATGTTTCCCTAGTAATTGTAAGTGAAAGGTACTTCTATCTGAATCGACTAAATTTGAAATTTAGACTCCATAATTATTGATTATGAACCAGCCTGCATAAAATGAGGGTTTGGAATCTGATTAAGACAATAAGTGTTCAATAATACCAGGTGCGATGTTTTAGATTTAGGGAAATGCGAAGTTTAGCTCAGGATAGGAAAGAGTGGAGGTGCGTGTCCAACCAGTCTTAGGACCTACGACCTTATAACGGAAAACTTGACGATAAGAATTTTTGTTTTCTTTAGTAAACAAAAAAATTAAAATACAACAAAGTTGAATATCAACACATATCCTACTTTAATTATCCTCACAAAAATATGAAATATTGATTAATTACTATTAATTGTTTTCATCCCCAATATGATATTTAAGCGAGCAACCGATCTGAATTACATATTTATTTACTTACAATAAATCGGTACGTTTCATCCCTCATTTCGGGGCTTCTTCAACGATCTGCATATCGCAAATTAGATATATATTAACAAATATCCAAATTATTTTAAGTGAAATTAAGTACTAAGTGGAGGTACGTGTCCAACCAGTCTTAGGACTGACGACCTTATGATGATGATGATGAAGTACTAACTGATAGACACCTACGTCAATCTCTTAATTAGGTACCTATTCAAAACCAATTATAGAAAATTTGATTCAGAATATAAATATGTAATTAATTACGGCGTTTCAATTTTGAATTAGCGTGATCCGAATTCACTTGAACGTTTCCAGTCGACGTATGGTGACCAAGTGTACTGATCGAATTAAACTATTTATCCTTGTACTTGTATATACGATATAGTCCCAAGTAAAATTATAAATGCGAAAGGGAGTTTTTTTGTTTGTTTATTACAATTTCACGCCTTAAATACTCAACCGATCATCATGAACTTTTGTACAAACATCGTTAGGGGTACCGAAAAGGACATAGGGTGCCTTTTATCTAGAAAAAAACATACTGTTCCTGGCGGATGGAAAAGTAATTTTTAGGCAGTCGTCGATGATCTTCGATACGTGTTTAGAATATCAACGCGAGCGAAGCCGTGGGTAAAACGTAGTATTGTATAAAGTGTCTTGATTCATCAACTGAACGTCTAGGTCTTGGGTCTACATAGCTGAAAGTTTGTATAGACTCTATTGGGATCCGTCAAATGGGCATACACCATCTGGTGGCAAAATTTATAACTCGAATGAGGGGAAAATTTACATAGGAACTGTGCATGCAAATTGTAAAATTGTTTATTAAAATAATAAAACACGTTAAAAAAGTAAAAATTTTTTTGATGATGGAGTCGACGAAGTTTTCTTCTAAAGTTAAATCAAATAAAAAGTTAATATGTTCAGTGAAAAGCTGCAATAGCACTTCAGACATAGATCTTCACTCTTCACCTACATTAACTACTTTCCAATAAAAACTAACCGTTTTATATATGTAAAAAATATATTCGGAAAATTAGAGAAAAAAGTAAACTAATAGAAGCTTGGATGAAAGCAGTAGGTATCAAAGAAGTGAATTCCGGAATAAAAATTTGTTCACGTCATTTTAATGCACATGATTATATTTCAGCAAGTATTTACCATCAGCCATAACCTTAATATTTAAAACTAGAATCATACTAAAATTATAAAGTGAGAAATTATTTATTCCTGTGTAATTGATTTAACACAATTCTAATGATACGATATAAGTATTTTGAGGTTAAGAACCTACCTGCTGCAATACAACAAAGTTGCAATAATGTGTTTGCAACGTTCTCTTAAATCGGCTTTGCACGTGCAAGTCATTGATATGATATTGCTTAAATCACCCAGAATCACCTCACCAATTATATAACGTGAATCACTTTTTAAATCCGAAGTTTGTAAAAAGTAGGCAGTAAACTTGACGGAATTTGAAGGCTAGCTTCCGGATTTGTTATTTCCGAATTTTATAATGTGATTGGCATTAAAAACACGCTCACCTTCAACGAAATTTCCTTTCCGAGGCTTTGTGTCAGCCCAATCACATATTGTGTCAATACTTATCATTTTATCGTAATTTAAAAACTTGGAAATTGCACGGTACACTATAGGAACTACGATAAATTTTCCCTAATCGGCGCCATGTTTTTAGACTGCTCCCATTTGACGGATCGCAATACCTCTATACTATAGAGGTTTCCTTTATGATATATATATAACGAATAGGGAAAGATATTTCGAAATTAAACTTCCAAGAGGAGGAATAGTTGTAGCAAAGTTTATATTTAATGTTATTGTTTGTGGTCAGATTTAGTTGAAAAATTGATCTTAACATTCTTTGATATGATTATAATCAAACCCGTATGTAGACATTTTAAAAAATTGAAAGGGCAATTTCACTATTCGAAACGATTTGCACAATTCGTCCAGCAGTAGCAGTAAAAAAGTGAAATAGTTATTAGAGCATGTGTACACATGTGTATCTACAGCGTATTAGAAGAACGTCTTAGTACGAACTGAATTAAATTATATTGTTAATGATAAAACCACCTATCCATTGGTGCACAGGTAGTTGACCTTTACATAGAAGAAATTTTCAAGGCCTAACGCTTTTGTAATATGTATAACATTTTTGAAAAAGGCTGGTTACACAATAGAAAGTGGCGAAGGCTTTTAAACAAATATAAAACATTATAGGTTATATTGTCATTAACTAAAGACTGTTGTAACATGCGCCTGGTTGATTTTTAACAAAATTAAAATTTAATGCATTATGCAATTGCGATAGATATAGACAAACCTTAAAAAATATTACAATGTTAGGTAGGTATCAAATTTCAATTTAAAATTGCAAGAAGAACAACAATACTTTTATCATCTACTATCACACAAGGACGAACAAATGCGTGGTTTATACATATTTATGAAATAACATCTTTTAAATAAATAACTCGTATTTATTGTACGTGTACATATTATAAATACACGCCATAACAATATTCAATTAAGAACTATATGCAGTACGTTCTAAACGTTGATTTGCGAATCTATTTAAAGCTAGACACTTCAGTAGCTAGTACAATAAATAAAACAGAATAATTAATGTGTATTTAGATATTCCATTTCTTATTTCAGATATAGCGTTTCTTTTGTATAATAATGACTTGCCGTCATGCCAAAAATCAATTTGTCATCGCACCTAAGTAGCCTTAAGTGTCCGATTTTTAATTTTTTAAGGACAAACTCGTATCCATCAACATAGCTAACCATTTCATCATCAATAACAATCAATTTTGAGTTAATTATGTATAACAATTACAGGATAATAAAAATTATAATAAAAATAATAATAATAATATTGCACGTAATATTTAACGTAATTGTTATATGGCACCTTAAACTCACTCGTGGTATTATGTCCTTACAGTTTTGTGTTTTCGCTATTATTGTCCCTCCTAATCCCGTTCAATATGTCTTGTATTTCTTGTAAACTTTTCCCCGACGTTTCCGGTAGCAGTTTATAGACGAACAGTGCCGCCAGGAAGCAGCAAAGAGCGAAAATATAAAACGAGTTTGAAATGCCAATGGCATTGGACACGTCGGCGAAGTACTTGGTAAGTACGAAGCCCAAGAGCCAGCAGATGGACGCTGTAGCTGTCGAAGCTGAAGATTTGACATCGGAAGTGAACAATTCGGCGCACACGGCCCATGGCAAAGGTCCAAAACCAGAACAGTAGGCCAAAATAAAAACGATCAGACATGCGACGGGAAGCCAGAAAATGGGCTGAACATTGGAACCCGCCGTTTTCAAATAGAAGTAGTAACCCAACACGCCTTCCGCAATTCCCATACCTATTCCTGAGATTAAGAGCAGAAACCTTTTCCCCTTTTTTTCAACAACAGCTGGAGTGATAAAGCTCGCAACTATCTGTGTTGCACCTATCACGATGCTCGAAAGGTCTGGTGGAATAGTGCTTCCAGTTGCTGCGAAAATTGTCTGACTGTAAAACAGAATCACGTTGATACCAGAGAACTGCTGGAAGGCGACAAGGCTTAGAGATATAATCAGAGCTTTGGTAGCTCCTTTTGACTTGAAGATGTCGAAGAAGCTGCCATTGTTCGCCATTGCTTCTTCAACAGCACCTTTGATAGTGGACAGTTCCTTCTGAATGTCATCTTCAGATTTTGCGCGGAATTTCGCCAAAGCTTTGGACGCAGCTTTATCATCTTTGATGGCCACCAGATGGTAAGGACTTTCCGGAATGAAAATGAAGAATACGACCATGAATATACAGGGTAAAACGGCACATATATAATTGAATGTCGCTATGGGGACGTAAGGTCCAACAGCGTAAGAAAATAGGAGACCAGTTACTATGAACAGTTGGAACAACGATGCCAACGTCCCACGGACTGCGTCGTCTGATATTTCTGCTACGTACATGGGCAGTACAGTAAATGTACCACCGACTGCTAGACCACAAAGGAACCGTCCGATAAAGAAGTATTTTACTTCTGAACAAACTGCAAACATTATGAAGGCTACCAGGAATGGTACGTTTGACGCAAGGATCGTCTTCTTCCGTCCAATCTTGTCAAGGAAGAATCCGGCAGCGAATGGTCCAATCCCTGCCCCCAGGGGAAGTAAAGAACCGATCCAAGATTCTTCAGAGGGTGTGATTGGAGGTTGAACGGGGTTGAAGTCAGGGTCTTGTTGCCCATTTAGTTTTGGAATCATAGGCGATGTCCATCCAAATGTCACACCGCATACAAAGGATGCAATGTTGACTAAAAATAAAAAATATTATAGTTTTTTATGTGGTTATATATATATATAAATATTTATTGACAATTACAATATGTGGTAACTGTGCGCTATTATGGTGTGCGATGATGAAATGATTTTTGAGATTTTAATTCTTTTTGTCCTTTTCAACCGTTTAGAATGCGGTTTTCGTGTAATCACATTTTAGTTTTTGAAATTTAGAGTTTTGATAAAAAATATTGCTCAAAGCGTGTGGCAGCTTCCGTAATCTCTGATTTCGTAGCGAATAATAAAATGTGCTTATAAATGTCTACATATACTGAATCAAACAAATGATAAAAATATTAAAATTATGATAAAATTTCAAATATCTAC